TTTTTGGTGCTACTTGCGCTGTTTGCGCATGAAACCAGTATTAATTACAATATGGAAATGCCCGATGCGTGAACGATAATTAATTTTACTACCGAAATGATAACCGATGCACAAATACTAATAAATAATCACTTAATTTCGATAAATTATTTATTACCAAATAAATTGGGCTTTAATTAATGCACGTATATATAATTCAGGGTTATATAAATCTTCTTCAGATGGAAAAGCGAATATTGTTGCAAAACAGATGATAAAGTTTTATGATTTTTTTTTTCATTACACCGACGGAACGGTGTGCGATGCTATGATTAATGAAAAGCCAGGTCAGCTGCGAACTCAGTGGAAGGAGGCTGAGTTTCCATTTTTTTTCCTTCTTTCTCCTACGGCTAAGATTGCGGTGGAAATCTTTTTAGGTATTCCAAACGTGCTGCGCTTTTTCTTTTTTTTTTCTACTTTTCCCTCTCGCTTTCTTTCTTCTTCGACCCTCGTTTTTATTTTATGTTTCTTCCAAAACGTTCCCTATCTCGGTCTTAGTGCATGTCTTCATCTTTTTTTTTATTAATATTTTCGCGGCGAACGAAATATGGAACAATTATGATCGCATTAATCTCAACTTGCCTTTTAGTCGAACAAGTAGTGCCTTTTGTTGAGAGGACAACCGAAGCTCGGGTTAATAATAAATCTCAGTGTAGTCGCGAAATAGCACCCCCCTCAACCTTGCTAACTTTCCACTCGAGTCAAAACTCTAAATAACAAGCCCCAACTTTCCAAACAATAAAATACCAACCTCGCCGGCTGCGATCAGAAAAGAACTCTTCCGGACGACAGTTTCTTAGAATAATCGCATTTTCCTCAGTGAGAAATCATTGTTGTTGTTCTTGTTCAATCCATGATTTATATTCATTTTAAAAAAAACTATAGTTTACAAACTCAATCCAAGTATTTCCTTAATTATTATAATAACGTTATAATAAGTATAATTTTAATTCAATCTTTTATTTCAAATTTAACGTCAATATTTACCAAAAAAAAAATATGATATAAACTTATAATTAAATAAATTTGTTGTTTTTGTTCAATCCGTGATTTATATTCATTTTATAAAAAAAGAACTATAATTTACAAACTCAATAAAATTGCATTATCAAGTATTTCCTTAATTTTTATAATAATATTTACTAAAAAAAATGATATAAACTTATAATTAAATAAATTGGAACAATGAAAACTGAAGACTCAGTATTTAATTCGGTAATAAAAGTTTTATAGTGATTCTGAATATGCATATAAACCCGTGTATATAGTAGATGTGGGGAAGTGGGAGAGCGCGAGCGAACTTCTGGGAAACTGTAAAATTAGTTAAGCAATTTAGGTCGTCCCCTAATTTAAATAATAAACTAAAATTGGTTGAAGCAATTACGAACTTAATTGCAGCCCTTTTTTTTGTCCGATACACACCGATATTGCACACACATATTCGCTGCGAGCTTGCAAAGACTGTATAGTTTGTATCAATATTAAACGTGATCCGTTTGAAATTATTCAAAAGGGCTTGAAGCACTGTCGGACTGTGGGAGCTCGAAGCGAGAATGCAATAAACTCTTGTTAACCTTAATTCGTCGGCTGCACTGTGTGTGTGTATGTGTCTGTGTGCATTCCTACAGAATTTGTAATTATGCTCTACAGGTTATGCTACTCATCAACTAAGTAGTTTATTAAATCGCACGAAGGCAGCAATTTAATTAGCAATTAATGGATTAGCTACATAATTTCCTATTTTACTCGAATATTTCACAATTCTCCTGGTGGGATTGCGAGCATCGCAGATAACATTGTTGCACACACAGCGTTATCCTTCCATATTTATGCAGTAATCTCGTAAAATACAGATTGTGTAACACAACAGAACAATGCCAATAACGTTAATGGAATTTGGACGTCCTCAAAGTGTAGTCATTTCACAACATGTTTATTGCTGTATGAATAAAAACTTTAATTCTCAAACAAGTTTGTTTCCAAATATGAATTAAAAACAAAAACTCCTTATTTCTCCTCATTAATAGCGACATACATTTTATTGTAATTTTATGAAATTTGTTTAAAATACAATATTTGCATATAATTTAAAATAATTTCTTAATAACTAAATTTAAATAATGATATTTATTATTTGTTTCAGGTTGCTAGTTTTACCATCTGCGAACTATAGATATTCCCTAAAAGTGATTCGGTGTTTCGTGCAGTGAAGTGATTTGTTACAAATCTACAAAACAGATAACAGTTAACCAACAATAATTGAATCATTTTAATCTGTAAGTATTCATTTATTATTGCTCTTTACCATATTTTAATGACTAGTTTAAGTTCCATTTTATCGTAACTTTTATCATTTTCATAATAGATTGAATATAAATGTGTAATTTAATCTTCATTTTATATTCTAAAAGTTTATGTTGATATAATGCTCAACTACGCTCGAGTTAAATGAAGTGTAACTTCGGAAAAGAAAAATAAACCGTTACAAAAGGTACGCAAAATCAATTCATGCATATAGAAAAGTTTTTTTTTCCCTTAGTTACGCAAATTCAATTAAACTTTTACGAAGAAGAAAAAAATGTACCAGCTTTGTTTAATCACGTTCGTCTTCATGCGATAACATACACATTTTACACAATCAAATATTAAATTTGTTAAAAACTGAAAAATTCGTGTAATTTTTATTTCATCAATTTCATGTTTATGAAATTGTTTAGTTTTTTTATGATTATTGTTATAACTCTTGAATAATACTAATTTTAATAAGTAGTAAATATATGCAGGAATCAATTTAATGTTAGATGTGAAAAAATGGATTTATAGAGTAGATTAAAGTGAAGACTATTTAAGTATTTTTATTAGTTCTAGATATATTGATTTGTAATAAAAATAATACTTCCAACTATGAAAGGGCTTCAATTTCATTTAGAACTCTGACGCAAAAAAAAAGCTCGCAGATATATTTGCTGCTGTATATATATATGAAAAAAAAGAAGATATGTTTGTGGAGGATTGTGTAGGTATAGGTAGATTTGATTGAGTTTTAGTGAAACGTATATAAAAGAGTCCTCATAAAAGCATTATAAAATCCATATAAAAAAGTTGTCGTGCAGAATATAGTCCCATTCAATTTATAGGGATTTTAGTTCCATTATAAAACTTTTTCTTTTTTTTCTTGTTGTACTCCATCGAGGTATTTGATATATACATATACATATTTTTTTTTTCATAAGTGATTTCACGGTGCGCGTTTATTATTCATGACATTTCATTCAGTAATCGCACATTGTTCACTGAATACGTGTCCATGAAAATTAAAAGCGAAGCGCACGTGGGGTTGCACAAATCAGGCATTGAAATGGCCGTCCGTATTTTAACGTGAACATCACCCCCCTTTTTTTTTATCCTAGGCTGGCAAGTATAAAACAATAGGGGCCGATCTCTTTATTGGATGCTAGTTGTTTTTTTGATTTGCATCGAAATCGATTTGTTGCCAGAGATTGAGTCCAATTTTTTTTTTGTTATTTGTTCATCTCTATATGTGTTTTTTTTTCTTCTTTTTCTCTCGCCTGGCCTTTCGTGTCTGCTCCGGTTCTTCTTCCTTTCCGCTTGCGGATATTTTCGACAGTGGAACATTAATATACGACAGGCGCGGGGTTACGTAAGGCGGCGGAGCAATGATAAATCCTTCCTCCTTCTCCTGCGAATGGAATCGTTCGAGTCCTGCGAAGTGAACACCTGCAGAATATAACATGCCTAATTCAGTTACATTAGCGCAAGAAATATATCGGCCCTTTTGTAACCCGCGCGCCCTATATTCATCCGCATCCGAATTGGGTTACGCGATGAGCGAGCTCCCCTTTATGTACAAATTCTTCTTTTCGTTTTTCCTTCTACAGTCGCTTCCCCTTTCCTACGCGTGCAGACTAATGATCTTGTTGAAGTCAAAGACGGATGCACCAAAAAAAAAGGGGTGTGGATGTAAAGAAACTGAGGAATTTCGTTCGTGAAATCTGCACCTAATGGCGGATAATTCACTGGAAAGTACCGAATGTCGGTGGAACACGAGAAACTACAAGAGGTGCGATCCCCTCGTTAAATGCCACTTCCCGCTGTAATTAGGGACAGGGTGTTTTATTTCGCAAGAGTATAAAACGCGTTTTCTGTTGTGCCGTCCATTACAACACGAAAAATAAAGGGGGGGAAAGGTGCAAATAACGGAGGCGCTGCGAATTTTTATGGCCAATTAAATTTTTGTTAATCATTCCTGGCTAGCATCCATTACGTCCCCGTGGCCATAACGTACACTTTACCGTAACCGAATCCTCGGCGTGGCAATAGATTTAAATTTTCGAAATTGGCGCGCGCGTTCGCGATATCAAGATGAATGGGCGAGGAGAGCGGCGACGTCCGCAACCTAGGCCATCCTAGGATTCCTCATGCCTCGGGATAATTTAAGAACACTGCGAGCGAGACCACGTCCTCATCGCAAACTTTCCACTTTTAATTAATTCTGTTTGATGCCGAGAACTGAGCAAACAGGCTTCCGGTACTCTTAATGAATAAACACACTCATTATTCTCGACGCGCCTTCCCCTTCCCATCCATTCTCCCCTTTTGTTACACTATGAATATCGGATAATGGCCAGGAATTGATAACATACCATATATATTTTTCATTAAAGTTTTAAATGAATTCACCGAAATATCAATTAGTCGTGGAATTCGCAGCTCAGTAAACGCGATTAATTATAGGGCCAAGGCTCCAATTTACATTACGGCATGTTTACCGTTCCATTATTTAGGTGACTTGCTAATTACGTTCTGTTTTATCGTTCTCCTTTTTTTTTTCCATTTTCGGAAATTACCTTTATTAAAATATTGACGGATTCATTACTGTTTCGTGGAAGTTGTTTGAAACTCGAGGCTGCTTGGAAACGTGACGTGGGGTTTGTTAAATTATTTTAATTGAGAGCGCCATTCAAAGACTATTAAAACAAGTGGAGACTGGTGAAAGCTTTTAACTCAAAATACGCAACAATAACGTTATATTCTCGCGCCAGCCAAGAATAGAACAAGCGAAAAGCATTTATTAACTAGTACTTAGTAATTAGCGCAGCCATTAAAGTACTTTAACTCAAGCTTACAAGTTTTCACGAACTTTCATTAATATTTTTGTTTATAAATAAAAATTATATTATTAATTTCTTTACTTTCGTATGAAAAATGGAAGTTACTCTTACCAATTTTACAAGATAAGTGACGTCAATAATAGAAAAGCGTCATAAGTTCTTAATTTTTTTTTAAATTTAAGAAATATATTCAACCAGTAAACAAAAGACTGACAAGAAAAGCAATTAGTTCACAAAAAATATTATTACAGAATCCAACAAATTTTCTTGACTTTTTTTTGTAATACACAAGTTAATTGAAAATTATGTTTACATTACTTTAAATGAAGTTTGTTTAAACATGTAATTACGATTTTGTATATTTTAGAACTAAAAACGAAAAGTTGAGAAACGCTTGTTGCGGTTTGACACGTTGCCAACTTGATATAAATAGAGGTTATTATTTGTTACAATGAACTTGAACTATTGCAATCGCCAAATGAACATACATATTTTATAACATTGATTAAGATTGTAGTTCTTACAAATTGAAACCTTCCAATCAATTTTATATTTTAAAACTTTACTTTATACTAATATTTTTTTTTAATTTTACATACTACTACGCCTTTACAAGCCATCTACATTTAATTAACTTAAAAGGTAATCTCTGTACAAACTCTATACAGAGGATGCTTCCATTGTTACGAAGACAATGGTGCGGTGTATTATCGAATCATATTTCGATATTCTGTTATGTAAGGTTTCATTGATAACATGTGCAGAAACACGAAAATCTTTTTAATACAACTATAATGATATTTCTTATAATTAAAATAACTTGTACCAAAAAAAATATGAAATTTATGTCGAATATAAGAGAAATTTATTTTCTGTAAATGTTTGTAATCTTCTTTTGTAAAGGGATAAAATTGATGGAATAAGATTATTTGTGTATTTTTTTTTAATAAATATTGTTTGGAGTGTTCGTGGTTATTCGAGTAAGACAAATTCGTAGGAACGTGTGTGTGTGTAGGGGTATGTGTGTTTGGCGTTGAAGGGTGATCTCAGCTTGTATTTATACGGAGATGAGAAATGCGTCTCAATTACGTTTCGACGGGGATTAGTGTTTGGAATTTCTTGTCGGCAGATTAATAAAGACATAAAACGGATCATTGAATTTATTTTTCTCGTCGGACGAGATTAAGTTGAGCAGATCAATCACGAGCGGATGGACATAAATTGTCGTGTCACGTTTATGACAAAAAGCATAAAGGGCGGAAAGAGGTTGAGGGAGGATGGCCGCCTCTGATGGGTGGGGAGGTGGATGGATGGGAGGAGGATGGCGCGTGCAGAAGATGGGACGCGATTCCAGTCGTCGTCCGATGTCGCCATAATTTATTTCCATCACGCGCAAAACCCCCCACGCTGCTGGCCGACGACTCCCGCGCCAAAGAAAACCCTGTCTTTCAGATGGGGTTTCCCTCTTCTCCCTTTTATATTCACACCATTCTTTATTCGTTTTTGTTTGCCTCTATTTCGCAACCATTTTTTATTCTTACACTCCCTATACATTTTTTTTGTATGCATCGTGTCTTTATTTCAAGTGGAAAATAGATATCAACAAGTTATTTCAAATTTATAAATCTAATTAAGTGGATAGTATTCTCACTAATTATTATTAATCTGATTTGTAATGTGTATTATTTCACTTAATGCAGCGTTTTCCAAACTGTGAGGCGTTCACTAGTCTAAGGGGAGGCGCGAATATTAGTAGCAGTGAGCAATTTTCCAAATATCTGCTAAAGTATAGATACATTCCTGTGCTCTTATCCATATTGCTGTAATACGCGTTCAAAGTTGAAAAATTGAAATTAGAACGTTCGACGAAGCAGTGTTTTCACATTTTATTGATTTACTCGAAAACTATAATAGATAGAATGAATCCAATATATTCATATGAAAGCTGAATGTTTGGGAAATCCAGCAAGTATAGATACATTTCTGTGCTCTTATCCATTTGCTGTAATACGCGTTTCAAAGTTGAATTGGGAATCCAGCAAGTATAGATACATTCCTGTGCTCTTATCCATATTGCTGTAATACGCGTTCAAAGTTATGAGGGGGTGGGGAGGCGCCAAATGATTA